CCGAATTGCCTGGTCGAGGAGAAAAGGTGAGTGGTTGTTTTTTTATTGTTATTATTCAAGAATACAATGGAAATCCGCTTTAGATAATTAGAAATATTTTAATATTTTTCCACACGTATGTGTAATATTTTATACGAGCGCTCCTTATATTATGAATATTTGTTAGTTAAAATCAAGACTCCCCTGTTCGTGAAGCCGCTTCCACACCATAAGGAAAGAAGAATAAGATAATTTGAAGGTAAACGATACGCCAAATATGAAGGAGAGACGCTTTAATTCTTCTAAACTGGGTAGGCGTGGCTCTTCCGTGGGTTCCCGGTTAGCTTCTGTGCATCTCCACAACAATAAAAAAACGATAGGGACGCCTGTGCTTGATACCCGCAGCCTGAGGGAACTAGCAAAAGACACGGAAACTCAATCACGACAATCTGGTACTTCACGCAGCCGCTGCTCATCCTCTGTGATGGAGTTGGAAGAAACGATTGCCGAGGTCATGGGAGTCCGAATGCAGTCCTTAAATGACTTGGGGGCTCGAATAGAAGAGCTCTCTTCCATAAATAGACAGGAGGAAGCGGCTTTTCGACAGCAGATGGCTGATGTACTTCAGCAATTGGAAACTGCGCGGGCCAATCAGTTAGGTACAGAGAAAGACTACGAGACACTGCTGAAAAAAGAACGTAAAGAGCGTCAAGCCGTAATGTCATTGATGCAACGCTTTAAAACTGAAGGCGCTGAGGTAATTAATACAATGAAGGAATCATTAAAAGAGGCTAGAGCTAAATGGAAAGCTGAAGTGGAACTGAATGCCCAATTAACCGCCCAGTTAAGGCAGTCCCAGAATAAAATTATGCCAAGAAACTCTCCGAATACAAATGATGCCGATATGCCCACAAGAAATTCTGGTGAAACTACCCTTTATACCAAGATTGATATATTGAGGCGGCTTCTTGAAGAGGAGGACAACATTGTAGTTGAATTACAGCAGCGCAATAAAACTCTTGAAAGGAAAGTGTATGTTCTTACTCAGCAACGCAATCGACTGTTGGACCTCGAGGCACAGCATTTAGAGACTGAGGAATTCAACACCGAGTACAACACCTTGCTAGGTACGGTTCGTGATTTTGAGACGATTGATAAGGAAACACCACTTGAAAGGAGGGTGTGTGTTTTAACGCGCTTCACAAAAATGCTTTTGCAGCGTTTACAGTCAGAGCAAAGACAAAGGCTTCGGGTTGAAGAACAAACTGTTCGGATGGCTTCAGAACATGATCAAATAGTGCGGGCTTTGGAGGCTCGTATCAAAAGTTTAGAGCTTCAAAGGAGTACTAGTGCTTCTTCATATCGACATAGTGTTCCATACATTAGTGATGAACTGACATGGGACAGTGGGTTAAAGAAGGACAGAATCGAAATTCTGCCTAGAAGTGAGGAGGTAGTTCCAACGGGAAATGCGTCGTTTGGTCAAGGGGCTTTGAACCCTTCCAGGGCGGATAATGAAACCAAATTGCCTCTTACTCCTTCAGTTGAGGTGAGTGGCGTCAAACCACATTCGGAAAAGTCGGTCCCGAATGACTCTACTGGGGATTCCATGCATGCAACATTAGAGGCCCAGTTAGCAGCGGTTACAAGTGATTTTCAGCAATCTGTCGCGGAATGGACCGCTTTTCCATCGAGTAAAGAAAAGTCGTTAAGAGAGGAGGATTTTTGCCCTGCGTGACCGTGCCATAATTTCATTTGTGACGGAAGCACCTCCTTCTCTGACATCCAGATCTTTCCACATGGCGGATCCACTGGCTACTTTGTTGCTTCTATTGGATTCTTCTTTCATAACAGGAATGCGGTGTTTAACCGTGCTTACTGACAGTCTAAAAAGGCTGAGGACCTTTACAGCTGTCATTCGTTATCGTTGTTTTTTTTTTTGGAGTTTCGGCTTCTGTGGTTTAATACCCCCTACGGCAACTATATATATATTGTTCTTGTTGAAGCGTTTTTGGAGTTATTAATGGTATTATTATTTGCTTCATGCCGGACGCATCGTACATACACATGTATGTGTATAAAAATGCATTGTACAAGTTTTATCATGCCCCAAAGCTTGTTTGAATTATTGCTGGTTGCTAGTTAAACCCACGAGCTGTTTCTTCTTAGTTGGACTCAGTCAGCGTTGCTGAAAAAAAAACTGAGTAAAAATAGATGACAGCGACGAGTTGAAAAAGAAGTGTTTTATTCGTTGTTTCCTTTTTATTTTTTTTCTTCTTGCTTTCAGCTCTCTCTCTCTCCTTTTTTTTTTTCTTTTTGTTTTGTAGAGGCATTCCCTCTATGACTGAACTGCCGTTGCAGGAGCAGGCCAAGAAAGGGAGCTTGGCTGCAGCAGCGACCACAAAATATCCGAATTATTTGGCAGACCGTGAGCTATGTAAGCGCTTTTTCGAGGAATTCCGAGATGCGTCTGGCAGCCTGAAGTACGTGGATATGTCGCAACGAATAGCTCGTAGAGAGTTAAAACTTTTTACCGTACATTTGGACGACATAGCATCTCACGGGCAATTGTATCTTGCTCAGCGGATACAAATGAATGTTATGGGCTATTCTGAAGAGCTGTGTCGCGTCATTGATGAACTTATCCCACAGACAGAGATGATAGAAGACATGGTTGATTATCTCCTACTCGAGGCGAAGGCCGTTGGTCAATCGCTCCCTTCTTTATTGACAAGAAGGTACGAACTAGTCTTTGTGCCATTGAGTGGCTACGCCGAACCGATACCACTGCGACACCTAAAGGGTAGCTTAATCGGCACGCTTGTGGTGTTGCGTGGTATCTGCATCGCGGCGACTGCGGTTCGGCCTAAGCTTTCGATGCTAGTGTCGGTGTGTGAGGTGTGTGCTGAGACAACCTTTCAACAGGTGGTTGGGGATCGTCTCACCCCGCTTATGGTGTGCCAATCGCAGCGTTGCAAACTAAATAACACTATAGGCCGTCTACTTCCTCAGTACAAGGCGAGTAAGTTTGCCAAGTACCAGGAACTTCGGCTTCAGGAACTTCCTCAGGATGTTCCTCGAGGTGCAATCCCACGCACTACACGCGTCGTCTGTGAAGGTGAACAGACAAGGGTTGCCGCCCCAGGACAGGTGGTTAAAATCACAGGAACATATTGTCCTGATCCCTCTACTGGGCAGGGTCATGAGGCATTTCGGGCTTCTACCATGGTAAAGACCCTATTTCGTGCTTTGCATATTGAACTTGAAAAGCGAACTTACCAGGAGGCGGCAGAGGATCTCAAATCTCAGGTGGAGAATGTGCGAAATTATCCAGATAAGGAGGCGATAATTGAGAAACTAACTAGGAGTGTGGCACCTGAAATTTGGGGAATGGAAGACGTGAAAAAAGCGCTGCTCTGTTTGCTGGTAGGCGGTAGCTCTATTGCTAATGGCATCCGTATTCGAAGTGACATCAACATCTGCTTAATGGGGGATCCTGGAGTGGCAAAAAGTCAGCTATTAAAGTGGATTGCCTCTGTAGCACCACGTTCCGTTTTTACAACAGGGAAAGGTAGTTCTGGTGTGGGGTTAACAGCTGCGGTGACAAGAGATAGCCATACAGGAGAGGTTATGCTGGAGGGCGGTGCGTTGGTTTTATCTGACAAGGGAATATGCTGCATTGATGAGTTTGACAAGATGGACGACGCCGATCGAACGGCATTGCATGAGGTTATGGAGCAGCAACTAGTCTCTATTGCGAAAGCTGGTATTATTACATCGTTAAACGCAAGAACATCTATTTTAGCAGCATCTAACCCGAAATATGGTCGTTGGCGTCGTAACCTCACCCCAAGCGAGAATGTCAATCTTCCACCTGCTTTACTTTCTCGTTTTGATATCTTGTGGCTGTTACTTGATGAATCAAACCGCGAACGAGACGCGGAGCTCTCTATGCACGTGACGCACGTTCATCTTCACGGGGTGGCCCCTGGGACAGTTACGGATAATGGCTTCGATGGTTCGTTATCGGAATACTTTGGCAAAGATTTTTTGCGAGCCTACATTGGTGAGGTGAAGCGAATTCATCCCTTTGTTGACAGCGCTGCGGCAAAAGCCATTAGTGATATTTATTGTGAAATGCGATCACAAAGTGTGCGTCACACGAACGTGGTCACAGCGCGTACACTGCTTAGTATTATTCGTCTCTCTCAGGCGTGTGCTCGTCTTCGGTTTTCAGAGCGTGTTCTTGAGGCGGACGTTCGAGAGGCTGGACGGCTACTGGACTGCAGTAAAATATCGTTGCAGGAGCGAGCTGACCCCAATGGGCGACGCGCTGTGACAACGTCGGATGCCGCAATCTTTTCGACGATTAAGGAGTTGGCTCGTTCTCGGACGACCATTGATCTGGCGGAGGTACGCCCAGCTCTCATGATTAAGGGGGTGGATGAGGCGCACCTGCAGCGGTGCCTGCATACTTACATGGAGGTCGGTGTTTGGGAGGTTAACGGAAACATTATTGAGTTTTCACAGGAGTGAATCAGGCATAGAGTGGGTTACATGCGGCGACGCATGGCGCGAAAAGGGGACGACGGTTGACTGTCAAGAGACACTACGCGCTATGGCACCTGTTCGCAAATAGCCACCTTTTTTTTTTTCTTATTCTGTTCTTGTGTGCCTTCTCCCCTCTTTGGGAGGTAGTTTGAAATCCTCCATGTCGTCTTGGCTTATTTTTTTCTTCTTCCTTTTTTTTTCGTGTGAATTTTTGCCTTCCCACTAGATTCCTGCTTGCGTCAGCTAACTCCTTTGTTAATCATCCAAACCGTATTTCATTATGGCCAGTGAGCGTACCTTCATTGCCGTGAAGCCGGACGGCGTGCAGCGCAACCTCGTGGGTGAGATCATTCAGCGCTTTGAGAAGAAGGGCTACAAGCTGGTTGGCCTGAAGATGCTGCAACCCTCAACGGAACAGGCGCAGCGGCACTACATTGACCTAGCCTCGAAGCCCTTTTACAAGGACCTCGTCGCGTACTTCTCCTCCGGCCCGATTGTTGGTATGGTGTGGGAGGGCAAAGGCGTGGTGAAGGGCGGCCGCACGCTGCTGGGCGCAACAAACCCCGCTGACTCGCTCCCTGGCACGATCCGCGGCGACTTCGCTGTTGACGTGGGCCGGAACGTGTGCCACGGCTCCGACGGCGTTGAGAGCGCCAAGCGCGAGATCGCATTTTGGTTCAAGCCGGAGGAGCTCGTGGGCTGGACCTCGCACTCCGTCAAGCAGATCTACGAGTCCGCCTAGGCTCTGCAGAGGCGAACTGGCAAGCAGCATTGCAGGAGGCGCTTAAAAGCGCGGGCAAACTGTGGCCCAAATATATAAAGCACCCACATGTTCCCCAAGCCGAATTACGATAGGCGGGGTAAAGGAAAGCCAAAAAAGGAAGAACAAAACGAAAAAAAAAGGAAAAAGGGCAATAATAATAAAATTTGAGCAATGAGAAAGTAGCAAATAAAATTTTTTTTTTTGAAGGGACGGATTCCGGTTTATACAGGCGGGGATGCAGGTTTTTGTTTTTCTTTTTCGTCTGAGCGACGGCCAATTTTTCTCGCTCTGAATTGGAGTGCAGACTTTGACGCTGTGGGCCGCTCCCGTGTTTCCTTGTGTTTGAAGGTTTTGCTGGAATGACATCGACCCCCTCCTTTTTGTTTCTTTTCTCTTTTCCTCCCCGCTCTTCTTCCGCACCACGCTCACGCGTAACGAATGTCAACAAAAAAACAAACAAACAAACTACGAGGCCCCTTAAGGGCGTCGACGGTTGTGGTCCTTGGCTCTGCCTTGCTCTCGCTTGCCGCTGGCGGAAACGGGAAGACAGTGAACGCAGAAGAAGAGAGAAGACGCCGGCTGAAACATTACGCCCTGTTTCACGCATCCCAACACACACACACACACATACAATACATATATCTATATCTATTACAGAGAAGAGAACATCGCGCCATAGATGCGGGGGCCTTTCTTGATTACGCGGCTTTTTCTGAAACGCAAGACACCGTCGACAGTGAACAGCGAGGTCAGTGTGCTCTCGTCTGTCACAAACGCCCCTTTTTCTCCATCATGTCAGGCCATACTGCGATCGGTGGCGAGGGCGCGACACTACGTGAAGAGGTACTGGGTGACGCTGCCACAGTCACGCCGCACCTGCAACGCGGTGGTGCTCCCTGGCGAGTCCCCGACGGTGTTGCACCTAAGCGTGGAAAAGGTTGTGCCCTTCACAGCACTGCCAAAGAAGACACAGAAGCGCATCATGGATGAGCACCCCCCGTTCTTCGGCTCTGGTGTTGGTATTCTTTCCACGCGCATGAAATGGAAGGCCGTTACGGCGGAGCGCCTCCTGCGGCTCCTCAACGAAGATGAAGAAGACCGTGCCTTGTACATTGACGTCGCCGTTGCGCCTGAGCTGGGTGTGAAGGTGGCGACGAAGGACACCATAGATATCCGGAAGCAAAGCTCAATTTCAGTGTACAGTGCGGAGCAACTGGATGACCCGTACAAGGGGGAGCCACAAAAAGGGGTGGCCTTGAATGCCGTGACAGGAAAAAGGCTTGGGCAGCCGGCGCACGATATCCTTCTTGCGGTTGGTATTATGCGTGGATACACCTCACCCATGTGGGTGGCAGAAAAGCAGCTCAAGCATCTGAACTTGGAGGTGCGCGGGAAATGCGAAGGGGAGGGTGTGCTAGCCCCTAATATGACGGGATTGATTATCTCCCTCTCCCAGCTTCCAAAAGACGCACAACAGATGTTGTTAAAGCAGCTGCGCGAGGCCCACCCCGACGCCTTTGGGTATGACCTGTACTTTCTTTACAATGTCAATGGATGGGAGGTGATGCGGTCACGCGTGCTCGTGAAGCACATGGCCGCCGTGAACGATCCTCAATACCCCTACCACTTTGTTAACCTTCGAGATTTTGGACTACAACATATAAACTTCGCCAGGGTTGCTCGTGAGTGGCAAAAGAAACTGAGGCCCTTGGGCCCGAAAATGATGGATGCGTCGACGACGCAAGACGACCAAGCCGATGTGGCAAGGAAAGAGGGGAGGGGGCTTGCCATTCAGGCTGTTCGCTTCCCAGGCGGAAATTCCCCAAAGCGTGGGCACGCAAGAGTATTTTTTGCGGAGGATGCCACGCTTCGCCGCTACTACAACGCCGTCTGCTTGTCAGAGCCCCACTTGGCCGTTCCCGCGGTGCGTTCCGTCGCTATTCTAAATGGCAAGCTTGTTGGTCGCCGCGATGAGGCCAAGCTGCGTTCCTTTGCCCTCAAGCACAAGCTTTCTAGCCCAATTTGGCTGACACCAGTGGGTGCCCGGCGCATGGGCGTCGGAATAGAGAAGAAGTACCGCAGCAAGTTTGTCGCGATTGGGGCGGGGGCCGTGGAGGATCAGGGCGACGCCGCCGCCGAGGAGTTTTACAACTTGGACGACTTTGCCGACCCTAATGAGATTCTCGCTATTTTCCCAAAGAAAAGTAAATCGGTGCACTTTTTGCTGGACTCTAAGTGGCGTCCTGTGTTGGGTAAACAGCGTCAAGACTACCTGGCCTCGCTGAGGCGCGCGACACCGCTCTGGGTCTCGGTGAACGAGTGCCTCATGTCTGGTTTCGAGCCCAAACCTGGCTCCCAGCCCCTCTCCTTCCCGGCGGCAAGGAAGTCAGGCGACTCTTCTGGGGGCGTAAAGCTGTACAACTCTCAGTTTACAACGGATCCAGTTCGCGTTATAGGATTAGCCACGGTCTACACAAGGCCCCAAGGTAACAGTCTGTGACATTCCTGTTTGTCTCCGGCTTTTGAACGCAAACACCTTTGCAGTGCATGCGCATTGATTTTCCCTACCTCCTCCTTCTTGTGAAGCTCGCATGATGAGTATAGAGGCAAGTTTTAGAGGAGAGGGGGAAAACGACTGTCGGCTTTTCTGTTTATGTGTTGAAAGGCGGGAGGCGGTGGGGTGTGGGGGTTGTACCGGTGACAAAATACACGCCTCTGCGCAAGAAAGACCAGGGACGACAGCACTGCAAAATAAGTTGCTCTCAAAGAAGGAGGATAAAAAAGGCGCTGCTTTTCCTGGTTTCTTTTCCTTTGCTTTCTTCTCATGCCAAAAGAAAGACGCACACACGCACACACAAGTAAACGACTCCTCCTTCAGCATTGAATAAGGCTTTGCTAAAGGGGAAGCATAAGTCAAAGGTTTCCTTTCAGCGTGCAACCCTCTCTCTCTCTCTCTCTCTGTGTGTGTGTGTGTGTGCGTGTGTGTGTGAAAGTGAAAGTGAGATAGAGAGCGAGCGTGTTTTAGTTTCTCTTTGATTGCGTGCTTTCCACGTGAATGGCGCGAACCCATGAGCTATCCTATAGTTCGGCGGCATCGGGGGCCCCATTTAGGGGCGGGGGTCTACCGCCAGCTGCGTCCATTTCCCCGCCGTGCGTTGTCAAGATGCGGCCATCGGGCGCTGCTGTGGGAAGCGAGGGCGAGCGGAGGAAAAAGGCTTATGCTCCTTCGACAACGTCTCCGTCCCCACGCAACACCTGCGCCACCCGCAGTTCTTCGCCTGGCGTGAGCGTTAGGCGACGTCCGCGTCTGCTTGCGGTGATGAAAAACATGGGTTCCTTCTATGCGGAGATGGCCGAACAGCTGGTGTCAACAGGCGAGTGGGAGAGCGTCCTAGTCACGCGTTCCTGCACGGGTAGTGAGCTGGTGGTCGCCTCCCACGGGCGTCCGCTGCGGCTTGAGCACGTCACGCTCCTCCTCGGCGAAAAGATTCCGGCAGAGAAGTTTGTTGCGTCGCGTCGCCTCCTGACCGAGCGAGACGATAAGCATCGTGGTGGGCGGCGTGCCAGAGACGTAGATGGCCCGAGAAATGTCGATGTGCTTTGTGTTGTAAATTGTGTGGAGAAGCTGCGCTGCATCACGCTCAAGGGGAGCATGGTGTCTACCCTGCTCGCGTACCACTCGGAGTCATGGGAGGAGTTGGGCGACTACTTGCCGGTGACGTTTCAAGTCATTCCCAGGAAGCCCAGGCTTGATGAACGCAGGATGTTGCTGGCGACACTGCGGAAGAGGTCTAGGCGTGACGCCCTGTGGATAGCGAAGAGCTCCTCCGGGTGCCATGGGGATGGCGTGGAAATATTTCGTAACGACGAAAAGAGTGTGATTAAAATGCTCAACTACATAGATGGCCAGAAGGAGTCGCATATGTGGGTGGTACAGTGCTACATTGATCGCCCGCTGCTTTACCACCGCCGCAAGTTTGACCTGCGCTTTTGGGTTCTCCTTTGCGCCGACCGGTACGAAATATACGTCTACAAGCAACTGGTGATGCGCATGAGCAGCGTCGAGTACAGCCCGCAGAGCGCCACCTCAAGGACCGCAGTGGGACGCCTGGCACACATTACGAATCATTGCGTACAGGCCCAGGGCAAAGTTTTCGAGGCCTTTGAGGAAGGCAATGAGTTGTGGGGTCAACACCTTGACGCCGTCGTTCGCTACAAGGGCAAAAGGTTGCTGAAGAAGGGAATTATGCACGACGGCGCCAATCCCCACCTGGAGCCCAGCTTAGTAAGCACTATACTTCCACAAATTTACCATATCGCCGTAGAAACCCTCCTGGCCGCTCGGAGATCCATTCCGACTGGGCGGTCGCCATACATGACGCCGTGCTTTCAGCTCTTTGGTTACGACTTTTTGCTTGACGAGTGGCTGCGAGCATGGCTGTTGGAGATAAACGGCGCCCCAGGCGTTGCAGACCGGTTGCTGCCGGCGCTAGTGGCAGACACCATTGAGATTGCGTTGACGCCGTTCTTCCCAAACACCACGAAGGCCGCAATCCAGCGAAGCGGGATCACCCAAGGTAATGGGTACGTGAAGGTTTACCCGTAGAGTTCTTTTTTTTTTGCTTTCTAACCCTGTCGCTTTTAACGCTATAGCTGGCTTCAGCATCTATTGCGTACTCCCTTATTCCTTTGTGTTTGTGGCGTACTTTACCCTCACTTCACCTTCCTTTCACAATGATCGACTCGGTGAGGCATTGATGAAGAAACAGATTGGGCACGATTGTGGAAAAAAGAAAAAACAAGCAACACGCTAGAGGGAAGGAGGTACGCGCGCGAAACGTAGCCCAGAAAATACAACGCAGAGCAGTAAATTAAAACCTTTTTTTTTTCAAAGAAAAATATTTCTGCTTCTGTGTTATTGCTTTTGGGTGCTCCTGGAGCGAAGGTGAGGGGGTTGTACAAACTTGTTTTGTTTCAGTGCCTACTGGGGTGGTGTCGTTTCCTTCTCTGTGTTTTTGCTGTTTTTTTTTTGCCCTCTTTTTTTGCTTCTGCGTGGACGCAGCATGATTCTGGTCCTCAGAAGTCAGTCAGGGTTTCACGTTGTTTGAGGCAGTTCTACTGCCGGAGGAGGGAATAGTCTTCCCTGACGGCGCACACGGAATTCCACCCACACGGGTACTCAGCACACTGCGGACAGGTGCACAGGCGGGAAGGAAACGGCATCGTACGCCTCCCCCTGGTAGAGCTGGCTGCGGTGGCCGAACTTCTCAAAAGCGAAATTGCTCTGTATAGCAGTGCTTGTGTGTGAGTGTGCAGGCGGTGCCGCTAACAAGCAAGTGTGGATCAGGAGCCGCACATGTTGCCACCTGCGACATTGCTGGTGCGCATTTTCTCTCTCGTGGACTTCCATGTGTGTCCCCCAGACGGGGGAGGGGAGAGGGGAGGGGGCGTTCGCCGGGTAGGGAGAGAGGCAGATGTGCCCCTTCCGCAGGGCGAAAGCGGAGATGCGGGGGAGAATGCGAGCGTTATGGAGAGAAATGGGCGTGTTTGAGGGCAGCAGGTGTCGTTTCTTACTTTTTTTTTTTTGCTCCTCCCTCACGCCCCAGCTTCTAACCGACCTCCTCTACGCGGAGGAGTCTCGTGGTTGCGACCCCCTCACGACTGTCGCTGCGTGGGTTCGGAACTAAACCGGGTGCCACGGCCGTATGGCTTTTGTGTGTTCGCTTCTTTGTGGGTGTTAGCAACGAACCGCATTCGAATTGGAGTGTTGGGTGTCTGGGGGACAAACTTTGACTTCCTTTGTTGTGCTGCTGCCTCGTTCTGGGAGGGGTGATGGGAAGGCCTCAGCGTGGGTGCGTATTCCGGCGAGTGGCACGACTCACGCACAGGCCCCCTTCCACGCGGCGTGCGCTGCTCTGGGGCGTGGGCGGCCCGCCCCGGGCTTTGTGCCTCCTCGCGCCAGCACGCACCAACCAGCCCCTTCCGCGTCGTGGCATACGCGCTGGCGGCCAAAGTGCGGTGCGAGAGGTGCGTGGCCCCAAGCAGCATCAGTACAGCGGCGGCAGCGCAGCATGCACCAATGGCGTCGTCAGCTGGCGATGCGGCGAGATTTACTGTAAACTCTGTCAATTCCTCCGCTCTCTCCCTCTACACTTCTTTCCCTTTCTGGGTTTCCTTTCTGGGTTTCCTTTCCTCTGCGGCTCTCTGCGGCTGATTGTAGGCCTGTTCGAAGGCCCTTCACTCACCTGCTATGAGTGGGCGTGGTTCAAAAACGGGCCGAGAAGCCCTGGATTACTCTTTGGCACGTCGAGATGGGCTACACATGGCTTTGCGCCTCCTT